CTCTTATCTTAACATATCAAAAGGACAGCAGTTGACTCCCATGGCCTCTATCTTTATACTTCAAAGAAGTTTTATAACAGTCAACTTTAGGGGACAGGTTGTGTGGTCAGCTCAACCCAGTCACGATATACTGTTAAGACATCTGAACATAACAGCACTGTTGTGATAGCGGGATGCGGTTTTAACTGGAATAACTGCACATTCTTTTTGGCTTCTGTATCTTACTTTGCATATAGCCCTGCCTTATAAAAACCAGACCTCCGAGTCTGGGGTACTGTTTTTCCTTTAGCTGGGGAGATGGTCGCTGAGCTCAGCTTAATAAAATCTTCGGAACCCTAATTTGATATCCAGCCTCTTTATTAATTGTCTGGACGTAACAAAACTAATAATAATAATTTTTTAAAAAAGAAAAGAAATAAAAAAGAAATATCCTGAGCTCAATGACGAGAGGGAAAAAAGTGCAAACAATGGTCAGATAAGTACTGTACAAATCAAGAGTTCAGCCTGGGTTTCTCCACCTTGCTTCTCACTAGCACACCCCGCCCGACCTGGGAAGGGCTTGCCTGGAAGCACTGTCTTACCTCCTTCTGGAGACTTGTTGTCTTGGGTTCATTACTCTGGATTGACTTCTCATCCTCTCTCCTTTTTCTCAGGCTTGTCTCCCCCATTTTTGCCTCCTGCCAGTTCTAGGGGGCTGCAAGGAGGGCATGGGCCTTGATTCAGCAAATGGTCTAGTAGCAGACAAGACGCAAATAGGAGCTCAGCGAGGGCTGTAACGCACCTGGGTTATGGACACTGACTCCAAAAGCAGATTATCACACATTTTAGGGAAGCGCAGGTGTTGACCCCTTAGGAATAATTGGCTCTGTTCCAGGAATAATAATTCATGACTTGCTCCTCAGGCCTGGGGGACGAACCTCCCCTGCTCTTTTCCAAACCTTCCCCCCATTAGGCACCCTCTCCTCTGGGCTCCTAATTCGCAGCAATGACACGCTTGAAAGTCATTCTACCTCCTTGGTTCAACTTCATTTTTTCCGAAGTAAAAAAATATTTCACTTAGTAGTAAACATTTCTGGGGTATACTTAGTAGAACCAAGTCCGAGGAAGGAATGCCTTTCCCATAATTACTTTCCAGGATTAAGGCACATCATAGATCTGCCGTGTAGATGTTTTTCAATGAGTGATGCAAGGAATGAAAAAAAAAAATTGCTGAGGAAAATCACTTCCCTAGTGGATGGTCATGTCTGGTACCCTCTCTCTAAATAAAGTCCTTTTGCAATCTCTGGCCAGGAAAACTGCAAGCCTGCCCATCACCCATCGATCTTACCTTGTTCTTGACCTTGCTGAGCCCAGGGAGTTGCCAGTGCAGATGAGCGCCTGCGTCTGCACGGTCGTGCCCTAGTAATGGCCATGTCTTGTGCCCAGGAATGAAGGACGCCAGAAGGTACAGAGGTCAACAAAGGTAATTATTAAACACCTTTTTTTTTTCTCTTTAAGTAATGAAGCTTTGATACACCACACAAAAAGGGGAGGGTCAGACAACCTAGTTTCTCCCCCCAAACATGTTTGCTTTGTTCATTTGTACCTAGATCAATTTCTTTCCCCCCTTAACCAGACATCCCCAAATCAGCTACATCCCATAAGGAGAAATCTCTTCTAAAGACTGGAACAAGAAGAAATAAACTTTGGAACCAGCTCTTTTATTACTTGACTAGGCTATATTTATAATCCCAGTCGGGTAGCACGAACAGGAAGTCCTGTGCTTGTTAACTTGTCCATCAGGGCAGATGTTTTCTTCCCCACCCAGGAATTTCCTCCCAGAGGCCTTGGTCTGATCAAGCTGGAGGGAAGGTGGCAGGTTCTTCCCATTCACCTTTGCCAGGGACCAGGTTTCGGTGCCACCCGGAATGGCAAGAGAGCTTGGCAAATTTGAACACTGCGAAGGGGCCTCCCGCAGGTCCCGGCTCTATCTGCACCCACACGCCTGTTTGATTCGATGGTGCTGCTGTTAGAGTAGCCCAATCGCATGTTCACCACTGTGGAGCGGGAAAGAGGCACAAAATGTCATCAGCTCCACACTCTGCTTACCTCACGGGGAAACTGAGGCCCAGGGAGAGAAAGAAGCACATCAAGGCCACAGAGCTCTGGGCCCCATCCAGAGGTCTGGCTCTCTCAGAGAGGGAGCAGAGGAGGTCCAGCTGTGCCCAAAGGGGCTGGGGGCAGACCCACCCCTTCCCACCAAAGGTGATTTCAGGTGGCAGCTCTAATCCCTTATCACAGACAAGGCTTTCCTCGGGGATTGGAAAAGCCTAATCTGAAGCACTGTTGCTGTTATGGGGCTGGAAGCCTCTGGAAGTTGCCATGCGTGTAAATTTAACAGCATCCCAGATATCCAGATGAGACCAAAGGTCACAGGACAGTCACTGGGGATCACTGAGGGAGCATTTTGGGACAGGCTGACCTGAGAGAAGGGAGCATTTTTATGGTCATCTCTTAAAGCCATCTGGAGAATGTGGGGACCCTTACTGGCCCAGAGTTGGGGTCTGGGTTTAGAAGTTTGTTGCCTGCCCCCTTAGGGAGACCATGCTTGCTCATCAGGGCACCAGTTCCTCTGCCCGCCATGGCCAGGGCCCCCAGCAGAGTGCTCATGCACTGGGCTCCTCCGCCAGGAGCATGGAGACCAGAGGCCAGGGTGGGACCTGCCGCCCTAGACAGGACCTGCCCACAGGTTTGTTTGAGCCACTTGTAAAGTATTTGCTAACATTGCTGCTGCACTCCAAAGCAGCACCTGGCCTATCTAGATTTACAAAAGAATATAGAATATACTCCCTGGGTCAAGGTTGCCCCCAGAGGGCTGATAGTCTATCAGAAACCAAGCTGGGGAGATGGGTAGGCTACCCCACCACCCTCTGCCACATGGCCTAGGAGTTACTTAGCCTCTCTCCATGCATCAAGTTTCCATTCTGTAAGATAAGGCTGCTTCAGACACACACTCTTCATGGAACCATCAGTGAGGGCTGCAGAAGGCCACCCATTCAATTCCAGCCTCCTGTTAGTGCAGAGAGTCCTCTGTCTTCTTGGGCCTCTGCCAAGGGCTGAATTGGGCCATGTTGGGGTGAGGATCCTTTGTTGAGGGTCAGACATCTATTTCTAGTTAATTTTTGGTCAATGGTGAGCATTTCATTTCTTAAAGTGCTTGTTCTCCTTTTTCGCTTTCCCCCAGCAGGGTGAGTGTTCAACCGATTAGCATAAATCCCCCCACCTCAGGAAAAATCATCTGGATTTGTTTTAAAAAACGCATTTTTTTTTCCAAAATTCTTCTTCAAAACCTTTGGCTCACTGTGTGTCTGTCTAGCTCTTCTACTACATGACTGAAGTTTCACCTAATTGCAGTCAATTCCCTCTTACAGTTAATTTCCTAGAAAGTTTCATGTTATTTTTCCCCATAAACTCCATTACTTAAGTTTCTTTTAAAGCTCTTGACCTTCACTTTCAAATTGCTTTTTCTAATTGCAAAGATGCTTGTGGTTTGAAGATATTAACACCATCTGCATTTAAAAAATTTTATCATCTTATATTTGGTGCTATTTGGTTCCCTTCTGCAATGGTTTTTTAAGACATGTCTAGCCTGGCAGTGTCAATCCATTTCTCCACAGCCTTGTGGCATCTTGTCCTCTGATTCACCTTCCTCCATGATAGAGGCAGCGCATCAAACCTTCAGACAGATGCTGGGTCTTCGTTTACCACTTAAAATTTGTTCCAGACCTGCCTCCAAGTTTTCAAGCTTTTTTCTGTTCCTAATTTTACTCGGTCTCATATTCCGTCCCATTGGTGCTGACGGTAGTTCAGAGCTTTTGGGGACCCAAAACACCATACAACAGGTATTCACCTATCTACCTGAATTCCAACCAGAAGAACTTGTGAAGAGTCAGTGGAATAAGCAAAGTCTTTAAATGTTAAGGATTTACAGTCTAACCATAAAACAATTAGCAAGGAAAGCACAATTTAAAAGTGCTTATCTGGGAAGCAATCTAAATCTATATATATCTGAGAATTACTGGAACAGTGCAATTTTACCTTTGAACTTTGTCCTTTTTTTCTTTGTTTGTTTTTTAAGATTTTATTGGGGAAGGGGAACATTGTTGGGGAATTGGGGAAGGGGAGCAGCCAAGTTGTTGTCCTTCAGTCTTAGTTGCGGAGGGTGCAGCTACCTCAGCTCCAAATCCAGTCGCCATCTGGCCACCCGTCAGCAGCATGTGGCTGCTCAGCTCAAGGTGCCGTGTTCAATCTTAGTTGCGGGTGGGCTTAGCCCAACCTCCCAAGCGGGAGTCGAGTTGGCAATCTTGTTGTTAGGAGCATGTGCTCTCACCAGCTGAGCCGTTCTGCCACCTGTTGGCGGCAGCTAAGTGGCAGCTCAGCTCAGGCACAGATCACTGGCCCATGTGGGAATCGAACCGGCGACCCTGTTGCTCAGAGCTCATGCTCTTAACCAACTGAGCCACTTGGCCGGCCCTGTCCATTTGTTTTTGAGATATAATTTGTTTTACACTTTATTTATTTATACATTTAATATTATTTTATATTAATTTCAGGTATATAGCATAGTGGTTAGATATTTAAATACTTTAAGAAGTGACCCCCCTGACTAGTCTAGTAGCCACCTTATTTTTGAGATATAATTGCAATATAACACATTAGTTTCCATTGGGCATGAAACGATATTTGTATATATTGCAAAATGAGCACCACAATTAGTCTTCTTACCATCTGTCACCCCACATAGTTACAAGTATTTTTCCTTGTGACGAGAACTTTTAAGATCTATTCTCTCAGCAACTCTAAAATATACAATATTATTAACATTTATCATCACCATGCTGTACATTACATCCCCAGGACTTATTTTATAACTGGAAGTTGTATCTTTTGAACCCCTTCACCCACTTTTTCCACCCCTCCCTTCACCTTTGGCATTCACCAATCTGTTCTCTATATCTCTCAGTTTGGTGTGTGTATATGTTTAGAGCCCCCATATAAGGGACATCACATGTATTTGTTTTTCTCTGTCTGACTTATGCATATTTCACTTAGCATAATGCCATTAAGGTCCATCATGTTGTGACAAATGGCAGGATTTTTTTTATGGCTGAATAATATTCCATTATATATACAGTGTATACACACACACACACACACACACACACACACACACACACACACACACACACAGCCGACCCTCCATATCCATAAGTTCATATCCATGGATTCAACCAAGAATAGGAAATAGTCGAAAAAAAAAAAGTTACACTGTTGCCTACTATGGTCCTTTTTATTCTTGTCATTATTCCCTAAACAATACAGTATAAAAACTGGTTGTACAGCATTTACATTGTATTAGGTATTATATGTAATCTAGAGATGATTTAAAGTACACAGGATGATGTGTATAGGTTATATGCAAATACTGTGCCATTTTATATAAGGGACTGGAGCACCCACAGATTTTGGTATTCACAGGGGTCTTGGAGCCAATCCCCCATGAATACCGAGGGATAATTATAACGCAGTTTTTTTAATCCATTCATCCATTGATGGAAACTTAAGTTGTTTCCATGTCCTAGCTATTGTAAATAATGCTGCAGTGAACATGGAGGTGCATGTCTTTTTGGGTTAGTGTTTTCATTTTCTTCTGATAAGTACCTAGAAATGGAATTGCTCTAACATATGGTAGTTATATTTTTAATTTTTTGAGGAACCTCCATACTCTTTTCCATAGCAGCTGCATCAGGTTGCTTTCCACCAACAGTGCACAAGGATTCCCTTTTTCCCACATCCTTGCCAACACTTGTTATTTCTTGTCATTTTGATGATAGCTTTCCTAACAGGTGTGAAGTAATGTCTCACTGTGCTTTTGATTTGCGTTTCTCTGATGATTAGTGATGTTGAGTACCTTTTCATGTATCTGTTGGCCATCTGTATGTCGTCTCTGGAAATATGTCTATTTAGTTCCTCTGCCCATTTTTTTAATCAGATTTTTTCTTTTCTTTCTTTCTTTCTTTCTTTCTTTTTTTACTATTGAGTTGTACAGGTTTTTAAATATATTTTGGATATTAACCCTTTATCGAATATATAATTTGCAAATATTTTCTCCCATTCTGTACATTGCTTTTTTTGTTGTTGATGGTTTCCTTTGCTGTGTAGAAGCTTTTTAGTTTGATATAGTCCCACTTGTTTGTTTTTGCTTTTGTTGTCTTTGCTTTGGGCGAGTCCATCGTTTTTATGTGTTCCAAGTAACAAAGTTTTTTATGGATAACCTTTTTTGAGGAAACTCTACTTCAGAGTTCCATCTATTTGTTTTCTAAAACACGACTCGCCGTCCGACTCCCTGATCCCATACCTGGTCACTGTTCGTTATCATTGCCCCCTTTTCAAACACAGTGTTCACACCTGATGAAAAGATGGGTTAGCTGGCAAGGCTGGGGAAAGAGGGTTCTGAGTAGTCACATGTCTTTAGTAAAGAGTTACCATTTTTGGTAATCTGGTTTCTATCTGCCCAGCATCCACCTCTTAGGGTAGCTGATCCCTCCTAAGGGATTCTGGTGGGCTATCACCCAAAGCACCTACTTCTCTAGCCATAGGGAGGGTCGGGCTTGGGACCCCAGCTCAGCCCAGAGGACACCTTTTCACAGGATT